TCTGAGGCACCACCAACCGTCTAGGGTGCCCAGGCACCCAAGAAGAACAAGCTCTAGGGTACCAAGCACCCAAGAGTAAAAAGCTTCTTAAACTTCACTTTCATGTATCACCGTGGAGAACTCAAACCCATGCACCCAATGCAATGGCAAGGGCACACGGAGTGCCCAAATCCTTCTCTCTCAAATCTCATCACAACAACTAATGCTATGGAGGAAAATGAGAGGAAAAACAAAGAAGAGAACACAAAGAACTCCAAGATCTAGATCCAAGGGGTTCCCCTCACATAGAGGAGAAAGTGATTGGTGGAAATGTAGATCTAGATCTCCTCTCTCTTTTCCCTCAAGAACTAGCAAGAATCATTGGAGGGATTGAGAGATAGCAAGCTCAAAGAAGGTCAATAATGGGGGAAGAACACGAGCTCAAAGGATTAAGTTCATTGGGGAAGAAGACCCCCTTTTATAGGCGGGGACAAATCCAACCGTTATGTGCACTGGACGCACACAAGTGGTACTACCGCTCCAAGGAGCGGTACTATCGCTTGGGCGGAAGTACCCGAAGTATAGTGCACAAAAGAAGCATCCCGAGGTGGCAGTACCACCGGAGCGGTACTACCTCTCGCCCCAGCGGTACTACCGCTGATGTTGCAGAATACAGGGGAAAAGTGGTACTACCGCTCCTTACAACCACCCTACAACCACAGAGAGGGAAATGAGTCCAGAGGCGATAAAATAGGCGGAAGTAGCAGCGGTAGTGGCTGGCCGGTAGTACCACTTGGAGCAGTACTACCGCTCGCCACTACCGCGCCCTACTACCACTGAAGCGGTAAAGAGTTCAGAAGCTGAAAACAAGCAGTAGTACCCGTGACACTGGAACCATGGAAGTACCGCGCAAGCAGTACTACCGCTTCCTAGGGCGGTACTACCGCTAGAGAGCACCAAAAAGGCCTAAGCAAAACCACTGGATGCAGGAAAGCCTGAACTGCCATAACTTCTGTAAAAGAGCTCTGAATTAAGCAAAGTCAAGGTTGTTGGATAGATGAAGACAAATACTATCCAACAACAACACTTGAGCTTGTCAAGAAGATGACCATAAGCTCCAAAACTCAACATCCATCAGAGATGTGGCAGGGGGAGTATGCATATGAACTAGAGATGTGAAACCTCCATCAGAGAAGAATCAGCATAAACTCCAACATCTAAAACATCATAGAAGATGCATATGTGAACTCCGTTTTCGATGAACTAGAGCTTGTCAAGAAGATGACCATAAGCTCTAAAACTCACAAAGAGAAACACCAAACAAGAACCAAGAAAGGTGACGCAAGGATGTAATGGTTTGACCTCTTTACGAACGATACAATCAAGCTACTTACTTGAAAGCCCCCCTTGATAGTACAACAATTGATCCTATAACCCGGTCTCCCAACTACCACCATGAAACCGGTAAAATAGAAAATCTATCAAGGGCAAACCTTTGCCTTGCACATAGTCCACTTGAGCTAGATGATGACGATCTTGATTTTCTCAAGCTGGACCACATTTCTTGATTGCGTTGGCTCGATGAAGACTAGTTGATTGCTCTCCCATACTTCACTACGGGTGAGCCACTCTTCGGCATATCTTCACAAGTCCATTGTCACAACAATGGACGGCAAGCTTCAAGCATGATCTCTTCGTGATGCTTCACTTGAACTTGCACATGGGTTGTATGAGATCTCCCTCTCGACGCAAGCCCATGGAAACATACCTAACCCCACAAGAAACTCTCATGTAGACCATGGATTAGTGCACAAAGTGTAATGGATAATTCTTTCCTTACCATGCGATCACTTGATCCCGCATGGTACATCTTCACGCTTTGTGTGTTGATCAACTTGAATCACTCTTTGACTTAGTCTAGATCAACCTTGTATCATGTCTTCTCTATGACCAATCTTTGGATAATTCCTTGAATAACACCTTGGTCACCACATAAACTCCTTGAAACCAACAAATGGACTTCAAGAAATGCCTATGGACAGATCCTATGAATATAACTCAAGGCAACCATTAGTCCATAGAGATTGTCATTAATTACCAAAACCAAACATGGGGCACCACATGTTCTTTCAATAAGGATGGAATCGACCCGTGCTACTAGAATGGAACCAAGAGAACAGAAGCTTTTTTTCAGCTCCGCCTCGGCGCTCTCCAGCTCTGCTTCTGTAACCTCCGCCTCTGGAGCCACGAGAAGCGAAGCTGTCCGCCTCCCTATCGTCGCCAAGCGGCTAATCAACGGACGATGTTCAGTCCACCATACTTGTCTTCAACAGGAGGAGAAGAGCGGTGGCCTTCCTGGGACCCGAGCAACGGCGACCTACCGTGCACTACTCTTCCACGCTGCCGGCGGCGCCCGTGGACATGTGGACTTCGTGGTCGTTGCGGCGGGGTGCGGCCTCAGCGGCGTCCTCCTCGTCGTCGGTCTCGTCGAATACCGCCTCGTTCGTCTCGTTGTCACACTCCTTGCCAACGGCTGACACCTCCGCCACCCACTAGCGGTACCGCCAGCGGGCGAGATGGATGTCGCGGGCGGTGCGGTACGACTCGAGCAATGCCTCCTGCTCCACCATGTCCGCGTTCGGTGGGACCGCCCTACCGGCGAGTCGCTCCTCCATCTGCAGATGCTCCTGAAGGAGATGGTGGTTGTAGGCGGCATCGACATGCACCTCCCGAAACTGCCCCTCCCGCTCCTCCCATAGCATGTCCACATAATGGGCACTGGTCTCGTCAATGGTCAAGGTGCAGTGCTCCAACTGCCAGTCGGCCAGCCAGTCCGCAGCAATAGTGGCCATCTCCTTCTTCTGGTCTGGCGTCAGCCCATCCCAAAGCAGTAGCGGGGGTTAAGGCC